GTGCCTGAACGCTTCAGCCAATAAGCTGGAGAGCCTGCCCTCCTCCAGCCTATCAGAGGAGAGCCGGAGCACGCTGCAGGAGCTGTACCTGACCAATAACCGGCTGAGCGACAAGTGCGTGCCTCTGCTGACGGGACACGGACACCTGCGTGTTCTACACCTGGCCTACAACCAGCTGCAGAGCTTCCCCGCCAGGTGACACGTGCGCACTCACGCGCACACTCACGCACCGACATCGTCCGCTAACCTCAACAACACACACAAAATTCCCGACTTAAAGGCGCTTCTGCTTTTCAGAGAATAGCAGCTAACACTCCAAAAAGCGAATGTTTCTGCGTATCCCCATGTGTGTCATTCAGAACTTTAACGTCATTCACCATTCATTCAACTTTAACTTTTACACTGACGATTTCATTTTCCCGCTCCATCTTCAGCAAAATGGCCAAGCTGGAGGAGCTGGAGGAGGTGGACCTGAGCGGGAACTGGCTGAAGAGCATCCCCACCACGATTCTCGGCTGCAAGAGAATGCACACGGTCATCGCCCACTCCAACTGCATCGAGGTCTTTCCCGAGGTCATGCAGCTCATGGAGATGAAGGTGGGCTTGGCTGGTAGCTTGTCTGTGTTGATGCGCCTTGAGTCTTTCCTGAAGAGTTTCTGGCGTGTTTTGGGAGGTTTACAGGCTCTGTGTAGCCCATCATCTAGCACTACCGAGGGCGTCGTTACTGGATGAGTCTGCAGTTCCAGCCAAAATCTTACTGCCATTTCTGTTTACTCAGATCACTCTTTATTAAAACTGTATAGACCTTGCTGATTCGCTTCTAGAAGTTTCTGAATTCTTCCCGAGATGGTTTAAACCAAGATGTGCTACTTCTGTGGTTCCCTCTATTTGTGGATCTCCGGTGCCGTAAATAGTTTCTGGGCCAATCGAGTCTAATTGACAGGGCCGGCGTGATATCCCGGCAGGCTGGATCTCTAAGGCCGAAGCAGGCCCGGCCCCGGCCCAATCTCCCGGTACCCCTCAGCGGCAGACACGTACTCTCTCTCTTACCCATGTGACCACTCTGTGCCCTGGCCACCACCCGGGCAGCTGAAATAAAGCTCATGATGTCACATCCTGTTATAGTCGTGCCTCCATTGTCAGCCACTGGCCCAGAATCTCTCTATCCGCCGGCCCTGACTTCTCTGAGCTGCCCGCAGTGTGTGGACCTGAGCTGCAACGAGCTGAGCGAGATCACCCTGCCCGAGAACCTGCCCCCGAAGCTGCAGGAGCTGGACCTAACAGGCAACCCCCGCTTGGCGCTGGACCACAAGACGCTGGAGCAGCTGAAGTAAGGCCATTGGCCCAGACAGGAAGGCCTCATCTCAGTGCGTTCCAGACATTTAATGAAGTATTTAGTGACCCCTAGTGGCCGACTATTAAAATTGCATCTTTGGTGTCACATTACCAATTTTTATTTAGGTATTTTTTTTTTTTTACCTTGCATCTGAAGGACATCGGTATTTGTTGATGTACACACTGGATTCCATTATTTAATAATGTTCCCTGTTTTCCACCATATGTGAACGTTAATATAAGCTCACATATGAGCACAATGTTAATGAACTCATCCCTTTTCCAAACCAGCAACATAAGATCCTTCCGGATTGACCAGTCGCCGTCGTCCTTCTCGGCCACCGAGGCCTCAGGAGCTCCCGCAGTGTGGAGTCATGGCTACACGGAAGCTTCCGGAGTCAAAAACAAGTAAGCGGCATGTTGAGATCTCTCGGCTTCCCGCGGGTCGCGGTGTCAGCATTGGTTACATGACTGCACGGCCTCCGGGATCCGTACCGCGTGTTCGGAAGCGTGAGCTGCCGGATGTGCGCCTCCCAGGCTCTGCGTGGCCGCCCTGTCGGTGAACAGCTTCGGCGAGAACCGCGAGGCGCTCTACGGGGTCTTCGACGGCGACCGCAACGTGGAGGTGCCATACCTGCTGCAGTGCACCATGAATGACGTGCTAGCGGAGGAGCTGCACCGGGGCAAGACCCAGGAGGACTATATGAGGAGCACCTTCCTGGTGACACAGAGGTACATAAAGCACGAGGACTTCCTGGTCATGCAGCGTGTGGCGTGCATGCACGGCACTGTGCAAACGTTTTAAACAGGAAAATGAAATGTTTACAGCCCTTTGTCTGGTTAGTAAGTGTATATTTGCTCAGAACAAAATGCACAATTTAACATTACAACATATGCAGAATAACAGTAAATTAACAGTAAATAAATGCATTTGAAACTAACCTTCTGTTCTCCAAAAACGTTACTGATATCGTGTTGGACGGCTAGATGGACACCGCTTCAGTTCCCAAACCTCTCCTCAGGGGCACCTCAGCCATTCCATGAATTTGTTAATTAATTAATTGATTTAGTTAGTTATATAACTCGGGGGGGGGGGGTATTGATTAGCCAAATAAGGAGAGCTAGTGGTCGACTCAGAAACACATGGGTGTATTGGATGGTTGCTGCAGATACTGGGGTAACTTCAGAAGAGGTTCTGAAATGGCTGAGCTGACACACTTTGACAGACATGTCAGTTTCAAGCCACCAGGACCATCTAAACGTTTTCTTTGACTGCCTAAGACTTTTGCACAGTACTGTATATAAACACGCTTACACGCACATGCACACTGGTCACGCAGAGCCGCACGCACAGGCAGTCTGACTCAGTCTATGCTGTGCACTTGCGCCCCCTGGCAGGAAGCTGGGCACTGCGGGCCAGAAGCTGGGCGGCTCGGCCGCTCTCTGCCACATCCGGCACGACCCCCTGGACCCAGGGGGCTGCTTCACCCTGACGGCCGCCAACGTGGGCAAGTGCCAGGCCGTGCTGTGCCGCGACGGCAAGCCCCTCCTCCTTTCGGCGCTGCACAACGTGGGCGTGGCCGAGGAGTACCAGCGGGTGCGGCAGAACAAGGCCATCGTCACCGAGGTACTGCCCCCAGGCCCCCCCCCAACACACGAGTGCTGTGTCCCCTTCGGTAACATAGATCTGGTCCTAAATTCCGTCTGGTCACTGTCCCTCCCTTTCAGGATAACAAAGTCAACGGCGTGACGGATTCCACGAGGATTATGGGATACTCCTTCCTGTACCCGTCGGTGATCCCGCGACCTCACGTGCAGACGGTGACGCTGACACCGCGCGACGAGTTCGTCATCCTGGGCAGCCGGGGCCTGTGGGAGAGCGTGTCACCGGCCGAAGCCGTGGAGGCCGTCCGCAACGTGCCCGACGCGCTCGCCGCCGCCAAGAAACTCTGCACGCTTGCGCAGGCCTACGGCTGCAGCGACAGCCTGAGCGCCGTAGTGGTGCAGCTCAGCGTGGCTGAGGACTGCTGCTGCTGTTGCTGCCGCGAGCTGCCCGCCCCCCCCAGCCCCAGCCTCTTCCCGGCACCGGCCCGCGACTCCCTGCCCGCCCCCCCGACGCCGTCACCCTGCAGCGAGGCTAGCAGCGAGGTGTCCGCGTCGGAGATGAGCAGCGAGGTGGGATCCACGGCTTCGGACGAATTGCAACAGGGCGCGCTGTCGCATGACGGCCACACGGGGGCGCCATTCACACAAGAGCTGCGCGGCGGTGGCGGTTGCACCCTGCACCCCGTCTGCCCAGCCGACTCCTTCCAGCGGCAACTCTCTAGCGCCACCTTCTCCAGCGCCCTCTCCGACAACGGCCTGGACAGCGAGGATGAGGAGCCCATCGCCGGTGTCTTCTCCAACGGCAGCCGCGTGGAGGTGGAAGCCGACGTGCACTGCCTCCGCCGCCGAGAGCGCCCCCAGGCCGCGCAGGTGCCGCCCCCCACGCCCACCCCCGAGTCCCAGGACAAGGGTGAGGCTGAGGAAGGATGTGTGGCCGAACCCCTGAAGAGGGCGGGGCAGGCGAGCAAGAGGCGGGGAAACGGCTCGGTGGCCCCCCAGGAGCGAAGCCACAACCTGATCGAGGTGGTGGCCGATGCCCCAGCCAGGAAACCTGGGGGCTACTTCGCTGCCCCGGCACAACCAGACCCTGATGACCAGTTCATCATTCCACCAGAGCTGGAGGAGGAGGTCAAGGAGATCATGAAGCAGCACCAGCAGGAACAGCAGCAGCAGCAGCAGCAACAACAGCAGCAGCAGCAGAAGCCCCACCCCTCAGAGCAGCCAAATGAGCCCTGTGACACGCCCCTCTGAGAGGACACACCCCCTGAGAGAGGACACACCCCTCTGAGAGGACACGCCCCCTTAGAGAGGACACACCCCTCTCCCCTCCAATGAATGATTCCACCATTCAAAGCTGTCTGTAGACACTTGTGACTAGCTGCTCTGAGAAACCTCTAAACTCTAGTCGTCCCCCCCCCCAGAAATACAGCCTGCAGCCCGGAGGGTGAAGCGGGACACGGGATGCGTGTGGAACTAACTCCTGAAGATAACCTTAACCCGATCCGCAGGACTCCCATCTGACCAACACTAGCTCTCATGCTTTATCGCTTCACAGATATCGGCGCATGGTGGACAGGGACCTAGTTTTACATATCGATTTTATACGACAGAAATGACGCTGAAAAGCACTTTAAGAAAACCTTTTATGTTAAACGAAGATGTGAGTGGATGGTACATATCGGTGATACCATGCTTAACTGTTGTAGATAGGGCACTTAATAATACTGTATTTCTTCAGTCAACCATGGCTTTCTGCCTGTGAAAAGTCATAGAAATTTGTAGAAATTCAAAGACTAACTCCTAGGAGTTGCTTACTCTTTAATGTGACTTAGTCACTGTACTAATCTTCTCTGAGAGAAAACGTGACCCCC